GCACGGAATAAAACCATGTCCACGCGTGGACATAGCCATACGTATCGACAAGTCGCTCGTGGACATCGCTACGTAGTTGCCAATGTGCACCACCCATGGACATGCGCTAGCTTACGGGCCGGTATAGCGATCGTAAAAACTCTTATGGGCCTGGCCGCTCTCATTCTTCTCTCTGACATTGCTTAAATGGGAAAAGTGGGGGGAACTAGCAGTCCATACTTATATAGTCAAAGATGTATTATTACATCAATAAAGCCCCTTGCACAATGGACGGAATAGAAATAACAAAAGTTTTAAAGAGTTTATATTTAAAAATAAAGGTAGGAACAGCGGAATCTAACATAAAAAAATACACATGTATCAATGCAGATCAGAAAATCGGAATAAGTAATAGCGATAAAATTTCCGACGAGTTGAAATTCTGTGTTAAAAACTGTGTTATTTCTATCGCTATCGCTATTCCGTCCATTGTGCAAGGGGCTTAACCTGTGTCTATTGCTTATCGCTATCACTATTCCCTCGCATTGTGCAAGGGGCTTAATACACGAATATTTGTGCATTTATTCCGTTTTCGATAGAGAGATTTTCGAGTGCTCTTGCACACAGAATTGGACACACGACGCCTCAGGGGACAACGCGTCAATCACCGTCAGTGTGTATCTATTACTTCCGGAAAAGCGAGGCGTTGATTCGCCCACCGACGCGTTCTTCGCTGCCGTGTCCCGTACTCGGTGTGCAGAAACCATAAGAAACTGGATCTGCAAATGGTCGCAAACTTGTCAATCACAAAATTTCCAGAACCGTCCAACGCGATTGGCCGTCTCTAGAGATTTTGCAGCTTCGACTCGCAACCGTTGTAGATCCGGCATGACACACGTGGGCCTCGGCCGCATTCATCAGACCAAGCTGTTTTGCGGCTCATCGAACGTGATTGGTCATTAAATTTTACTGGAACCAACAAATCAACGTCCGTTATTGACAAGACGACAATCCCGGCAATTGTTCCGCGACCGAACGCCGCGGTCTTTGTGCGTTGCGGAAGATTTTAGGAATTGCTGAAAAGGCAGTATGCTGTATGATCAACGGAACTGCTAAAAATGGAAGTGTAGTTGACGAAAGGTACGATTGATGGTATCGCGGTTGTGCCAGATGCCAGATGTACGCCACCGAACGGACCCGTCTACGTCGGTGTTCGTAAATTCTTTTCGATTTTATTAATATTGTTAATTTGACACACGCAGGAATTTAATTATATACCTACGTTTTCGTTTCTCACATGGATTGGACTTTGGTAAAATTTGTGGTGTCTCAGTTTCGAAAGTAATGCTGGCGTAGAACGCATAAGAAGCTATGATATAGGTAACATCGGTGTGTCACGGAAAATAAATCTGATAAAAATGACATGGTGAAGATACGCTTATCATTTTGACGAAAGCGTTTAAGGGAGTAACAAGGTAAATGCACTTTAGGCTAGCAGATTATTCCATCCGCGTTATTGATCCGAGATTTTATCGCAAAACCACGCAGTAAGAAATCTCAGAGATTATACGCGAAAAATCACCCGTCTCCGTCAGTGTTGCGGAAAAAAACTTTTCCGTCTTGTAATTTGATAGCATTCTCAGAAACGTTTCTCACCACGAGTTCTCCAGTCACGAGTAATCTTTTTGGAACGAAAAAATTTTTATCGCTAGTAGAGAATCGAACTTCGATCGCTGATTAATTTGAATTAAATTTATGTTCAAGGAAATTCATCTTGCATTTCGAAGTTAACTTTGCGCATTACCATATTTGTTATTACAAATGAATATTTTAGCGCAAAAGTGACTATTACAATTTGGAATGTCTTAGATAACTTTTTTTTTGGTTGGATATGTATTACACAAACTGTTCTACATTTAATGCAGTATGTTTTTGCAATGCACATAGTAAACAGGTAGAATGGAGGAAAGTTCAGAAAATGTTTGGCATAAGAGTAAACCTGAAGAACAAGGTGAATTGTTTCATAGAGATTCTGCGGCATCTGTAGACACTAATTCGACATCATTAGCTGATATATTTGATACAGCATTTACATCAACAGTTGATCCCTCTCCTCAATCTCGATTTCATTCAGGTATACATATCAATAAATATATTATTCACTTATTCATGTCCAGAAAAAGTATTACTTTTTTGTTGTAAAGCATAATATATAAAATAAATGCATTTTTTTTCTAGGTAATGAAATGGAATGTGAGCCTTTATTTGCAGAAAGTGATGTTGAAGATTCAGATGTAACAGCTATAAGTCCTTATGCAAATACAGCTCATTCAACTGCTGCTGAAAATAATTTTGTTTATGGAAATTATGTAACATTTTTGTTGTAAAGCATAATATATAAAATAAATGCATTTTTTTTCTAGGTAATGAAATGGAATGTGAGCCTTTATTTGCAGAAAGTGATATTGAAGATTCAGATGTAACAGCTATAAGTCCTTATGCAAATACAGCTCATTCAACTGCTTCTGAAAATAATTTTGTTTATGGAAATTATGTAACACAATCAGATACAACTGGCGATTCCCAAGAATATTGGCAATCTAATCTCATAAATTGCAACATGTGCCAAAATAGGCAAGAAAGAAGCTCTAAAAAGGAGCCTCTTACTCGGCAATTAAATAACTCGTGTGAAGAGAGACCATGTGATAATTATAGAAGAAAAAGAATTTTGCAAGATCGTGATTTGGCAGTCAAACATAAAGCTAGAAAGAGTGAAGATCAGAAATTATTGAGTGGTCAGCAACCAGACAGTCTGAGTATAGCTGGACCTTCTAGACAATCAGATCATCCTATTTCTAACAAGTATATATACACTTGTTAATATATTTATATATTTTACATTATTCATTTTATATGTAATATGTTTTCTATTCTTCTGTGCAACTAATTTTTTTATAGTATTTCTTGTATGTATATAAGTACATCTTTTTGTTACAGTATATCAAGATCAACGGAAAATACGGATGGTTTACCAAATTTAGGAAGTGATAATGCCAGTGAATCTAATAATTTTGTTCACTATCGTTCAGTTATGCCAAATGTGATATCTCCTCATGAAGTACATTCAGTGCATACATCTCGTGTGTTTTTGCATTTATAGGATATTAATTTTAATACTTCTAATGTCTGTGCACAAGTGATATTGGCTTTGTGACTTTTTTTTTCTCTTATTGCTTATTTTATTAATTTTGTTTTTGATTTTAATAGGAAATGACGACACTCCATTGGCGCCTGATTTACAACTAGATTGGTCCTCCAGTAGTGATAGCGATGACGAAGACGGCTCAGTTGAAGTACTTGGAACTGTTAATCGTAATACCAAGGTATATACATATTTTTTTAACAAGTCAAATATAGAGAAACATATACATACACAATATGTACATATATACAATACATACTTGTATTCATTTAAAAAATATCTTCAATTTAACTTGTCACAAATATTTTATTTTCAAAAGAGCAATATTGTGAAATGTTGAAATGTCTTATCTTTTTTTTGTGTGTTATAGAATTCATTAGAAAATACGAATGAAGATAACCGTACGGTTACTGTAGTTGATTTAACTGTAGAATCTGATGAAGAACATGCACCAACTACGCCAGCGAATCCTGTTGTAGTTAATCCTTGGTCATCAAGCTATAGTCATAGGTAAGAATATGCATTACTTTTAAACAAATTATATATTGATATTGCAATTTTTATTAAATTATACAATACATGTGTAATTATATCATGATATCTTCTTTTATATGTATGTATATATATAATTTATATATATATATATGTATGTATATAATAATAGATATTATGATATGTACACCGTACATTTAATAAAATTGTTTTAGAAATAATCCACACTGTATGTATGGATCTTCACTATATACAGATTATTTTAATCATTTGCATAGCATACACTCGTTACATAATAACATGTACCACAATCACAGAATGCCTATTCACTCAGGCTACGGATCTGTAGGAGGTATGACCTCTTCACATATTTATAAAAAACTTTATCTGTGAAAAAATAATTTAAAATATTATAACGAAAATTTTATATTATTATTATTTTACAAGCGGATGTATCGGTAAATGTATCGAGGCCCCGCATGAATCCTGTTCAAGAAAGATTATGGATGAATCAACAACGTATACAAGAATTGCACAGACGACGACTTTATCATAGAACTTCTCCGCATTACTCGTTAGTGTCATTGCCGTTACGTCAGTATATTTATATTTTACTCGAGCAAAAGAAAGTCTGCAACTTACACATTGCATTTTGTTGTGAGAATAGTGCGGGACTACTACCATGTACTGCGGGACACATGCATTCGCCGACGCAACACACTTGTGGAGGAATGGAAAACAGCAATCCTTCGAGTGCACGATGCACTAATAACAACGGAACGGACAATGCGACGCATACAGAAAGTTATCCTCCTCCTCCCATTCTACCTCCGCCGCAGCAACCTACCGTTTACAGCCATCCTGAAGCTCGGGGACCACCTAACTTCTTCAGAGGACCGTGTCCTGTTCTGCCTATAATCGTATAAAATTCGTATTTTTCGTATAAATAATTTCCCAGTATATCATATTTTGTAATTTGTGTTTTAATTATCTACAGGTCAATCCATTGAGTGGTGTGGAAGAAATGGAACCACCTCCTCCGGTAATGCTGCCCTCGATGCCGGTGCATCAACACGTGCATCATCATATGTATCATTACGATCCGCATCAACGGTCGTCACAACGAATGCATCATGTGCACATCAGTTTTCATCCACATGCGGTTTGTTTTTTTTTTATTATTATAAAATATATGTCGTTACAATTTATCTTCTCCGATTAATATTCAGTTTTGACACATATACAGCAGGATAGTGCGCAAACACCATTGATGTCGCCGTTTGCGCCGTTGGGTTTTTCTGATTTTGTGCTGCAAGGACCACGACATATATCAGCTCGACTGGATAATTATATGCGCATTGTTGATCTGCGACGTATGGCTCATATAAGTTGTGGGGCTACACAAGAATCTATTGAGAGTCACACATTCCCTCATAAATACAAACGGGTAATTTATAAACATCTGTATAACGACTTTTTATGTTGGATAAATATTTTATGTTCACGCATTTTATAGATGAAAAAGGTTGAGAACGGGGAAGATGCTATTGAAAAGTGTACAATATGTTTGTCTGAATTTGAAGATTGTGAAAGTGTCAGGTATGTCAAAGACATCACCTTACTGCTAGAAAAGATTTTTTAGATTTTGCTTATATATTGCGCTTCTTCATTAGCGCTATTTTGTTTATTATAAATCAGATTAAACTGAATATACTTTTAAGTTTTTGATTTTCTATACGTACATAATAATTATTATAGTAAGTAAAAATTATGAATATAAATATGTTTATAAAGTATTAATTAATAGTATACAAAATATTAATTAGGATATTGTTTTATCTAGGAGGCTTCCATGCATGCATTTATTCCACATTGATTGCGTCGATCGATGGTTATGCACTAATAAACGCTGTCCTATATGTCGAGTGGACATTGAAACTTTTCTTCATAAAGAGCTCACTACATCGGCATAGTTTAAGGTTTTTCTCACATCCGCTTTGTTTTTAAAAAAATAATCAGGTAACATTTATATAATATTAAATATTTCAAGATAATTTATCCAAGGGAAATTTATATTGGGTCACCATTGCAAACATAAATTGATGGTGTAAACATGTTATGGATAATCAAAATAATATCAAATCACACGCTGAAGTTCCTTTTGAGAAGGTACGAAGAGTTGTAACTGTTCAATTTTATGGTAGATCTACCTGCGATATATATTGGTTATCCATTGTTATCGAGGTTGTGTGTATGTGCGTGTATGTGTGTATGCGCGTGCGTGTGTTTAGTACACTTTAACTTATGAGAAAACTTGAATTTGTAAATATTTAATTGACATCCAATGTAAATTTTTGTAATGTTTGTATTAAATTTGTAACCTTGACAAAAATTCTAACATTACATGTTACAGTACTGGTGACAATTTAAAGAATAGATCCATTTTAATTTTGTCTTCGTACACTGATATGTATCTATTATAACAAGTTCTTGTCGAAACTTTAATAATATTAACATGAATATTATACATTTTGGAAAGTTATTTGCAATTGTTGCAAGATGTTACCAATTGTCCTACATTTGAAAATATCAGTAGTATATTTTTTCAATCAATTGACGTATCGTTTTTTTCTATATACGTATATTATCACAAATGAGAGTGCAGCGTCAATTACATAAACTAATACCGAAATTAAAATCAACATAAGACAAAACAATCAACAAAATTTTAATTTTTTTTGATCAAATTGTTCGTATTTTAATTTTTTTCTGAATAATATACTGACGCTAAGCCAAAGATTTAGCCTAAGTAGTGTAAATAACGATTATCTGATCTATGGCATGATTACGTGATTTTAAACTTAAGAGAAAAAATAGCCATTGCACCTATATAAAGAATATTACAAAAAAAATCATTCTATTATCAGGCCTTATATGATATGTATTGTCACTTCTGTGTATATATACATACATATATATATATACACATTCTGTTATAATGGAATCAAAAAAATACTACTGTCCTATGATAATCCATGGTAAAGATACATCGTGTTTTTTACCATTACCTTTACTAGTACCTTCAGTATTGAAGTTGAATGTAATACAAATCATTTTATTTTGTTAAATGTGCGATATAAAATATAATATATATATATATATATATAAAATAGATAGCATAAAAAAAAACAAATAACATTACAAGATTTTCCATTATAGGTTTGACAGTAAAAAAAAAAAAAAAAATGAATTGAGAAAGAAGAAAAGAAAAAAATGGAGAAAGAACTTATTATTAAGATTTTATTTTCTGAAAGTTTTATGAAAAAATACTTGAATACTTTTTACTGAATTATTACGTTTATCATCTGAATGTATATAATAACGATCTCATAAAAGTTGTTTTATTGTTGACGAATGATTGTCATTGAGAGGAGAACATTTTTACACTGCCACATATAAAAATCTATTCATCAAGTTTCATTTATTAAGAGAGTGGGACTATCTTTTATACGCAGCTGTTTTATTTCATATGACAATTGTTAACGGATGCTTAATCGAACTTTTAGTAATATAACTTAATTGTTTAATAAGATTCTTGAAGGTGTGTGGTATGTAACACATCCTGTTGCGAGGATGATAATAAAAAAAAAAGGATATATTTGCCATATACAAAAAGAAATCAAGTAGTTAGACGTAATTTGTCTCGATGATTTCTTATTTTATAAAATAAGAACACGTATATATGTATATTAATTATAAGATATATGTATATCGGAAAACAATAATTTTATATACTTTCATAAATAATAGGAATTTATACTATATATAATAAATTGATAAATAAACTGATATATTGTTTGCACCTTTAGGTCAATTTTCACGTTTATTGCATTTTTTTGCACTTCTCATACCTTAGCAACATGCTGCCGTTTATTTCTTGCCAAGATACGAGAGATAATAAGAATGCAGTAGGCGTTAAATGCCGCAAATCGATCGAAACGTGCAAACGTTTATCAGTTCTACACTAAAAAACTAGAAGGATACGAAGAATTGTATTGATTTACTGTTGCAACATTAAAGTAAATGTTATATATGTAATACATGATTCGTAAAACCAAACGTGTGTGTGTGTGCGTATGCGTGTTACTTTGTTTCACTTAAAAGTGCTAACAACATATACATCTCATATCTGATCTCGTGCAAAACGTCATGCGTACCCTGGAAACGATTAAGAACAACAAAAGAGACGCGGCCTGACAAAAAAAAAACTGACTTGCCCTTGAATAATGCTTACGTGAGTTACCGACTACAAAGGATATAAAATTGGTCGCTGTTTCCGTTGTCATCGATGTTTTTACATATTAGCAAACAATGTGCGGAATTGAAACGGCACGTGTCGCGATCAGACCGAAAGATGCACAACAGTATCAACATCGCTGTGCGTCATATTGCGTATATACAGGGTGTCTGACAACGAACTATAAAGCCGACGTGTGTAGGTAGATCGGGTCATTCGGAACAGAAAAGTTATATACCATTTTGCAAAATTCGCAATATTTATTGAGATATGAATTAATAAATGTGAATCAATGAAGGCGCGGGGAGCGATGATCGGACTCTATAGGCGTGCACGATTATCAGCTCTACTCTTCGCTCGCCGCCAGGGTTGGGTTATTCGAGCATTATCTAGAGTTTTTTACATTTTACAGTTTTTTACGGTAAAATACGTAAAAAACGTATAAAATACGTATAAAACGTATAATATTTATCGAAGTATACTATTATGTTTGTAGAAATGCAAATTACATTTGTCAACAAAATTTTTAAGCTTGTTGATTGGCCTAGAATAGAAAAGTACTAAAAATTCAAAAATTTCTTTATCCTGTAAGGGCCATTACACATAAAATTCCTTGATAATTTGGATGACAAAAGTTTGCTGCCAATGCAATTGGAGTGATTATTTTATTAATACT